GTGCATAATTTTTGGAATTTATATTTTCTTTTCAGAAAATATCGAATACATGATCAAATTTTTACCCTGATCTTGCACTTCTTTTATTTTTATTCATTTTCTTTTTGGAATTTTTCGAGACCTTTGTATCCATATTCCTTAATTCCACATGACAATACGCTCCTAACCTAAATTATATATACTTTAATTTTCCTACAGTATATAAAATTTAGATAGGATAAAATGCGCATGATTATGAAACATGCGTATGAATGCGCATTAATGCACATGATTAAAGAATTATGTGCATGCATCTCTAATCTAGAATGACGATAGTGAATATTTTAATCTAACGCACAGCATATAAATTCATTAATAAATTTTTATTTTTAGGACCTAAGCAATAATGACCACCAATTGCATATCATTGCAGATGTTTCTACCAGATGGAACTCATCATATCTTTCTTGGCAACGACTTTTACAAATTAGAAGTGTTATTAGTATGATAATAACCAATTTGACATTAGATAATGATTTGCAAGTCCGAAAGGATGGTATTCGCCTGGAAAAAATTAATCTAACAAGCGTAGAATGGGATGCTATATCAATATTAACTGCAGTTTTAAAACCCTTTACTGAAGCGACTGAACTATTGGGAGGCAGTAAATATGCCACCATTAGTTTTATGTATAGTGCGATTACTGTAATTGAGCAGGGGCTTATTTCATTTACTAGTAGAGCTTTAAATACAGATTTCGATTCTTCCAATGATGTTTTTGAAGATGATGTTGTTTATGAGGATGATGAAGATGAAGGAGTACAAATGAACTATGTGTCAAATGAAAAACGGCGTCGAATTAATATTAATAATCCGCAAAATTGCGAAAAGCTCGAAGAAAAAATAAAGGCAGCATTATATGATGCTATGGTACATTATTGGGAAGTGCCTAGTGATGAGGCCATGCTAGCAACACTTTTGGATCCTCGGTGCAAGCCTCTTTCTTTTATGTCAGAATCTTTAAAAAATGAAACTATCGAATTGCTTAAAACTAAATACGAAGAATCACAAGCTTTATATGGAATAGAAAAAGATAATAAGCAAAACCATTCTAATTCTTTATAGCTTCTATGTTTCATAATAGATGCACACGGTTGGAAGTTTCAGATTATCTTGGAGCTCAAGAAATTCAATGGGATCAATGCCCACTAGCATGGTGGCATAATAATCAGAGCCGGTTTCCTGTATTAAGTAAATTAGCCCGAAAATACTTGGCTATTCCAGCAACTTCGACTGCAAGCGAAAGACTCTTTAGTGACGCTGGAAATACAATGACAGAAAAAAGAACATTACTCTTACCTACTACATTTGAGCATCTAGTGTTTTTAAATAATAATTGGCAGGTTACTGGAAGTGTATTTCCGGACACAAAAAATTGATGGAGCAAGTAAGAATTTTATCTCTTAACAATAAAACCACATTACAAAAAAAAAATAAAGAAAAAATCTATACATACTAATTAAAGGTTATTTTTATTTTTAGGCATATCCGTAACAAACAATTAAAGTGTTGAATAGTCCAGCAGATCTCCGTCTTCAGCAGATTTACGATACTAGCAAATTTTATAATAATTAAAAGGTGTTTTTTAGAGGAGAAAAAAATAGGTAACATTTGATGGGTTAATGTATATTCAATTCAGAAGCTTTATTAGATCAAAAGCTATAATATTGCAGTTCGAGTATTACTATGTCAGAGGTTAATCCTGCAAAACATTAAAAATTACACAAATATCTTTGCTTTATAAAGTTGCTTTAAATATTAAAACTTCCATCATCGGCATATTAAAATATCAAGTACGTTAAATATTCATATCTCAAGCTTTATACTATTTAATTCAAAAAATCATGCAAGGGATAACTACTTAACTTCTTTAAAATTCTTAAGTGCATCACTCTCCAATCCGCTATGCAATTGATATCCTTATTCATTGCCTATTTTGAATCGTTATATCTAGCGCTAAATGGTTTTATAAAATTCTTCTAACCGAAATATGCATGCTTGCTAACTGCACTAAATTATGCTTTTTACGCTAATGATTTTTTTTTAAAAAAATTATATTTATAAATAAATTTGCGTTTAATATTATATTTATTCTGATTTTTCTTATTGAAATACATAACATATTAAGTTTTTCTAAAAATTTTTCTGACAGTGCACGGGCATTATATTATTATCATGAATATTTTTGTAATTATGTTCTATATCTACTGTACTTGTAAAAAAAATAACACAGATCGTTAAGTCACTTATGATGTTAGGTAATTTTTGGGTAATAAGAGTCAAATTCAAATTTTGGTATATATTGATTTCGTGTAATTTATCATTGATATTAATATCGATCTTAAAATTTTTTTAAATGTTTTGATATATTATAAAATAAAACTTCTAAAAAATATATTCTTGCTTTAGTTAATTTAAACCTATATTAGTTGCATAATACGTATTACAAATCGGGGTAACGTTTTAAGCATTACAATAGCGAATGCATACTGTACTAACACATATTAGTATTAAGCCCGTAGGTACCCACGGGTAGGGTTGGCAATGAAGCCCAATGGAGCTACGAATGGAGCCAATAGAGCTCTGAATAGAGCCAATGGATACTAGTTTTTTAAGCTCCATTCACGTAACTATTCAGCTCCTTTGGCTCCATTGTCAACCCTACCCACAGGTACCCGCGGGCTTTAAGGGCTGGGCTAGGGTATCAAATTTGGGGCCCTAGGGTAAGAGTAAGGGCTTGGAGATTAAGCCTGTTAATAAACAGGTAGGGTTAGGTTATTACTACTACCCGGCCCATGCAGAGGCCTGATATATATATCAGAATAAAATCTTGCCAGATTTAGTAAGTTAATTTTAAATATTGATTCAATGTAACACCCCAATACAGCAATAACGCATTGTCTATCTGATATCATGATATCCGTAGGTTATCCGGTTTATCTGGATATCTATAGAATTATTAATTATCCGTAAGGGTTACCCGGATGTCTGTAAGGTTTATCCGGATATCCGCAAATCAAAACCTGACGGTTTATCTGGATACAGCTTTTATAAAAAGGGTACAGAAAAATGGGTATCCGGATATCCGGGTCCAAACTCTAGCTATTCTTGCATTGCTATCACATTCATAAAGCCTAATCACACTGTGAAACCTTGTATTGCTATCGTAGTTGTTTGACTTAATCACTATACTTAAAGTTCTTGTAGCAGCCATAGAGCCTAATCACAACATAATATCCTTGCATCTACGAAGCCTAAACACAATGAAAAATTCTCACAGTTATATTACTTAATTACCAAACATGAGCTCTTGTACTGCTTGTGGCAGCTATAGAGCCTAATTATAATATGAGTTCTTGCATTGCTATAGTAGTTACAGAGTCTAATTACAATTTAAAGTCCTTGTACTATTATCATAGTTGTGAAGTTTAATCACTAATTATAAGGTTTTTCACTGTCTGTAGCAGTCATAGAGCCTAATTATAGCATGAGGTCTTTATAGCCATGGAGCCTAATTATAACAAGAGATCATTATACTGCTATATTAATTGTAGACTCTATAAAAAAGGTCAAAATTCTATTTTGATTTTGTTTAGTTAATTTTTTTTATAAAGAGAGATCAATCACCAAACATAAGATTCTTATATTGCTTGCAGCAACTATAGAGCTTAATTAGAACATGAGGTCTTGTATTGTTATCAAGCCATGAAATCTAATCACAACATGAGGTTCTGTATTGTTATTGAGCTATAAAGCCTAATTACAATATGAGATTCTTGTACTATATAATACAATATCAGATATAGTGCACTCATCTCTAACTCCCTTTAAGCAACTTAAGTGCCTAGTTCAAAATAAAGTTTCATATATTGGATTATGAAATCAAAAGTCAATTTAACTTTTTGAATCTTATAAATACAATCTAAATATGATAAAAAAATTTTTGAGGTATAGTGCTATAAAGCTAAGATAATATAAAATTTTTTTGACAAAAATCCTCTCCGTTTTAGTCTACAAGAGAATGTGATGGATCATGAGTAAAGGCAAATCCAATAAAAAAAAATATTTGTAACCAACCTTAAACTTATATGGAATTGATCTATAGTGTACCAGCAAAAAAAGATTAGAGCAGGTTAAATACTAATAAATTTGGTCTTTGCTTTCAAAATAACCTTATGAGACTATATAAATTTTATGAATAAAAATTAAAATTTCTAGCCATCTAATAATACAATTCAATAATTTTTTTTTATTTTGTAGAACTCACTAAGCTTTACAAAATAAAAAAATGTTTATTTTAATTGGATTACTGGATAGCTAGAAATTCAAATTTTTACAATCTACATAGTTCCATAAAATCATTTTCATCCAATTATTAATTATTACTAATATCCGTGATGATTATCACTGGTTACATAAAAACAGTATAAATACTTTTTTTATTTTTTGTTCTTTTATAATACTAATAACATTTACCAGTTTTATATTTCTTTTAGTCTTCTTTTGTAGTTGGTGTCCTTTATACCAGTGTTCCGATTATACAGATCACAGATTATGATTTATATATATATGTATCTTTTTTTTTTATAGCTACCACTTTAGTGTTTGATATCTTTGGGTATTTCAGTTGCTATCATCATATACTAGTGCATCCTTTCATATATTGGTGCTTTTATTTATACATTGGTACCATTAGGAGTCATCATATATTGGTGCCATTAATAGAATTGTCATATGTTAATGCTTCGTTCGTATACTGATATTATTGTATGGTCAGTGCCATCGTTATTTTGCATTATTATTTTGGTGTCATTGCTGATATCATTTATGGGCGTTACTTTTTTTCTTTTTGTTTGCATTGTTTCATTTATTTTAGATTGTTTCATTTATTTTGTTTCTTACTAACTTTTGTTTGTTTCCTCTTGTTATTACCACTTCATTTTCTTAGGTTAGTATCCTCATTATTTGTTTGTGTCATTGCTAGTTTTATCATTTGTTTGCATCATTTTATTTATTTCACAAATTGCAAGGTTTGGAAGAAGCCTTGATAAAAGATATGTTTCGTGTTGTTCATTTTGGCCAGAAAATTCAAAGGCTTTTCATTCCTACTTCTCTTTAGGTTGGTGTTCTGTTCTTGCTAGTTTCATTGTTAATTCTATGTTTTTTAGTTATCATTATCACTGGAATCTCTGTTTTAATACCATTGTTGTTTTGATTTTGGTAGATTAGGGTCCGTTAGTACGTATTCGTTGTTAAGGTTTGGGTTAGTAGATTGGTTAAAATAGGATTGGTATATTAGTAATTAGTGCAATAGTTAAAATAGAGTTATTATAATAAAATATTTGTTTTGTAATATCATTTTAAATAAATAAATAAAATTTATGAATTGTAATAAATAAATATATATATACTGTAATAATAATAAATACTTTAAATTTACTTTATTAAATTATATTTTACAAAATATTTTGAATTATTTTTGTATAATATTCTGTAATAAATTGCATAATATTCTGTAATAAATTGCATAATATTCTGTAATAAATTGTAAAATATTTCATAATAAATTGCATAATATTTTGTGAAATATTCTGCCTAGACTGTAATTATTATGCAATATTTCAGGGCGTAATAACTTATATAAGTTTACGTTTATATATTTTGCTGATGTAGCTACTATTAATACTACTATTATTACTGCAGCTAACTCTGCTTAGTCAAAGATTGACCACTTTTCTATTCTAAACATTCTCTCTATTAAGGCTATCTCCTCCTTATCATTTACCAAGACCCAATTTGTACTCATTCTACAATCTTCCTCTTCTTTTTTAATCAAAGAACTATCAGTGTAAAAGGTATACTTTTTTTTATCATTTTTGCAATTTTTCTCCAATTGATTATGTAGCCTTGCTTCAAACTAGTTACCAAATCTTTGTTGTTTAATCAAGCTTATTTTGTGTGAAAAAACTACAATTGCTTTATCTATTTCCATCTTATCTTTACCTTTTACTACATCCTCGCTTTTCCCAATTCTGTACTCTTTTAACTCATAGAGCAATACAGTGACTACTCTGTTTTGATTTTGTCTAACTACCAGTAGAATACCTAATATATTTTTGGTTTTAACCTATTTTCTACAACTTGATGCACTGCTTGATAGGCTCAATTCACAGCCCTTGCACTCTAAAAGTATAGGATCGATGTTTTCTTTGGCTAACTTTACATTCCAATAGTTCACCAGAATATGTGTTTTCTGCTTGTTCTTAACTTTGCCTATTAATATACTGCTGCTTGCTTTATTGAAAACTACCTACTCATGCTTTCTTCTATCTTTTGATAGTTTTTCTGAAACAATCTGCATTGCCATACTATTGCTTTCTGCATGGGCTTGATATTGGCTACTGACTATTTTTTCTAACAAGCTATTTAATACTGCTCTTTCAATTTCTTCAAACCATTTGGCTTTTCAGTCTTTTGAGCTTCTTGATTTAAGTTTGCAAAACTTCTTTCATGATATCATCAATCTGTCTTTAGCATCAAACAACTGATTTAAAAAGAACAGATTGTGCTTTAGAATATCTCTACAACTTTGCTTGAATGTTCTTTTACTAAGTATCTCATAAATTAGTGGCCCTGTACCTTGTATCCGCCATAGTCTGTCTCTTGAATAAATTTCTATCTTCAACTCTCTTGCTTTTATTAAAATTGATCTTGTTAAATTGTGCTTCTATATTCTTTTAAAGCTACTTGTTAGAGACTTATACCAGTACTCTTTTGTTAATTCTGCCAGTATATAGGCATGTTTGACTCTTATATTTGTCAATTTGCCAATCTGACTTGTACTATTTAGTTTGTTCTGCAAACTTGTTAGTTGTCGACTAAAAATCTCTTAACTCAACATTCTATACCTTCTCAAACCTATATGTGTTATTGTGCAGTTTGGAAGTATTAATGGAAACTCTAGTTTATTTTTGATTAATCTAATTAGTAGTTGATAAATATTATCAAGATTGACTTGAGAGACCCTGGTTGTTTATAACATATATACTAATCTGAAAACAATATACATATTATTCATATAAATCAGCTGACTGATTACGAGCTTCTTAAACTATAATGTTTATATAAGCTACTTTACAATAGCTTTGGCTTTCTTGATTACTATTGTTTTTTTTTAACTTGGTCTCTAATCATACTTCTAATAAAAATTTTTTTTCTCTGCTATAACTTAAATCTCATTTATTATAATATTTCTATCTTCTACCTTGAGACTTGAGTGCATCACAATAAATTTAGTATTCTTTTCATTGATTTGGATATTATTGAATACGAAAAACCGCTATGCAATTTGTAGTATACTGTTTATTTGCTCCTTACTTTCTGCTACCCATGTTGTGTCGTCTGCGAATGTGACTGCTGCTTGTCTTACTGATCCCTCTTTTACTCTATTTGTCTGTATATCGAGCAATTCATTTTGTTTAACTTTGTAGTCCAACTTGGGGTCATCCTGGATTCTTTTTAGTAAGAGATTGTAGAAGATTCTCCAAATTAAAAGAGAAATTGTTTCTCCTTGTTCTATACCATCACAAGCTACAAATGGCTCTGTTGTACCAATGCATGTAATAATTCTTACTTCTTTTTATCAAAAAGTTCTAATATAAATTTTACTATTTATTTCGAAAACTTTATTCTTTGTAGCACTAGTTGTAGTGTTTTACTTGAAACTGAATCATATATCTTTTTTATATCTTGAAATACTAACCACAGCTCCTTATTGTTCTCTTTTGCATCCTCCTTTAGCATTTCTAAAACATGAATTGCCTCTTCTGTTAAGCACTCAAACAACCCTGCATAATTTGGCTCTTTCAATATTTCTCGTTTAACAACTATCTCTGCTACCCTCTTGGTTAAGATTTTGATTATGCATTTTTTAAAAGTTTCAAGGAGAGTGATTGGCCTAATGTTGCTTAGTTGGTAATCCTAATCTTTACTTTTTAGAATAGAGTAGATCTAAACTAATTTCCACTTTGTAGGGATCTTGCTTGTTTTCAAATATAAGTTTGCAAATTTTCAAAACAACTCATAAGCAGCAGTACTTGCATTCTTAATTAGGCAATAGCCGATTCTCATGACTCCAAGTGCTTTGTTCTATTTACTGCAAGCAGCCACTCCTTAACAGTTATTTCTTCATCAAGGCTATTGTACCACTCTTCTTTTACTTCTTTTAATAGTATATAGAATTCATCTTTAACCTTATTCTCTGTTCTGATCACTCTCTTCTTAAACTGTTTTTTAAAGTGTTTATAAGTTTTACTTAGAACTGTCTCTGACTTAATATGGAGTATATGCCTCTTGGCTCCTACTTCAAGTACTTGGTCAATCCTCACTTTGTTAATTGGCTTATCTAGTATGCTTGCTAACATCCTGCTTATATTACTATCTATTCTTTTACATTTTGTGCTTACTGCTTTATTTATTATATCTCTTAACTGCTTGTTATCTCCAAGCTATTCTTGCAATTTCATAGCTTTTCAACTACACTTTGCTATTTGTATCTATTCAGTTAATGTAGTCTCATTAACTTGCTTGATTTGCTCTATATTGATGCCTTGTTTAGCATTTATTTTGTTTATTGTTTTATTGATATTTTCTACCTTAATCAGACTCTTCTTTATATTTAAAGCTCTCTTGACTGTTTGTATTATCTTGCTAAGTGTTATAATAAACTTGTGTAGAGCTGAGGTCTTTCATTTGGACTTCATGCTGATAATATTATTTGTTACCTTTTTTTTTGGTATATTTTTGTTTGCTAAATATCGAATTGTTTCTGATACAATGTCTCATATACTATCTATTCTAGTATTACAACCTGTCTGTCATAGCTTGTCTAACTTGCGATTTTTCTTTAAAAACTTATCTAGATCTTTAAGATAATACTGCCAATTTTTATCAAATACTTTGTCATACTGAAATATTGTTCTTGCTATATCTTTTTTCCTTCTCTTAGCTTAACTATATGATCTTACTATATATTTAAGTGATAAGACTGCCCTTACAATATTATAATTACTCTCTGTAATTAGATCAGCATCTATAATTTCTGCTTGTTCGATACCTAGCTGGAGCATTTCAGATACTTATATTTGGTCAATTCTTGTACTTGTACCTTGCCCTGATTATATATATTCTTTAAGCTCAGGGTTGCATACTATAAATATATTACCAAACTCCTGGCCTAAGAGCCATCTATGTAGTGGAAGAACTCTCGAAGCATTGTTTTCACTTTGGCTTACTTTGTCTAATTCCTTGTCTACAATATGATTAAAGTTACCCATTATTATAAAATATGATGTTGGACTTCTTTCAACATACTTGAATACAATTTTCTGCTATATCTTACATACTTGTATCTTATTATTTGATGGTATATATACTACAATTATATTAATTACAGCATCCTTGAAGAAAAATCTTGCCTTGATCATATATTTTTGGGGAATTTACATATA